CCTGCACAACTTGAGGCTGCCATTTTTAAAGGGGCCCGGTTGCGCTAATACACAGCCGCATGCATGCCATCAGCGTGCGGGACACGGTGCAACTGTCCGTCATGGTTGTCACCCCCTGATAGAGGCCCTGCTTGCGAGCACCTGGCTGTCAGTGTATTGCCACGGGTTAACATGACCAGACTCACAAGAGTTGAAGAGAGATGCTGCCAAAAGCTGAAGATCCTGGGTCTTGAACTGTGTTAGGGGCGCCCAATTTCTGAATGCAACCCTGTTCCTTTAATGGAGTCATCAAAAACCAGTATTGTATTTTTATTTTTCATAACTGTGTAAATACCCAACGATTAGAGAAAATGTGGATTTGGCATGTCAGGTGAGTGAGTAGTGGTACAGTGGTGCACCTACCCTGGCTAAGAATGATAGCAGTTGCAGCGGTTTAGTAGATGACACCCTAATTTGCTATTCTTAGGGGTACTAAATGAGGAAGCTATATGCTAAATAGCACCTTAATTTAATATCCATAAAGGGAAACTATATTGACAGGAAAACAAAGTAACAGGCAACAAGTTCTGTTACTTCCTGGTTGTTTAGCTCAGTGAAGCTAAGCTCAAGATGTGGCAATTGCTTAGAGTAAATGCCTTGCAAAGACGTCTCATTGAGCTGCATTTGGAAGACTGTGGTTGCACAGCCACAAAATGTCCTGGCTGGGTTAGATGGGGAGGGGTCATGATAAAATGAATAATTAAATGCAGCCTTTCAAGCATAACTTGGAGGTGTTTGCTTAAATATGTTCTAGTCTAACTTCTGTCAGATACCACCTCCACCTGCATAGAGGTTTATTTGTGATTTTGTTTTCAGTGGTGTTATGTAAAAAGTTTGTAATGGTAACTAGAGCATGTTTCCATTGTTTCATGGTAAATTCCTGATTTAAGTCTAAGAGATTTGGGGTAAATCCAGTGGTGCCAACAGAGCTCAATAAAACACTTCTATGAGATGTTTGGCACTCATGCCAATGGCACAGCTTGGGATTTTCGGTTTAGAGAAATTATACAAAAAGTGTGATAGGTAAGCAAATGTAGATATTTGAAAAAGGAAAAAACAGTCCTGGGGATATTTCTATTACCATCAGGAATATTTAATGTAGTGTATTACCACTTGTTGAAAAGGTCCCCTATTACCCATAAAGCTCCATGATCTCCATAAAGCCACTTCCAACAAAATGAAAGACAAAATGCTGGGATTTAGGTATATTTGGTAACTTTATTCAAATCAGGGATTCTAAAGCTAGATTTTCTACATGTGCTATTATTATTGTTACTTTTTGTAAAGTGCTAAGTTATTCCTTAGCTAGGGACGAGGTATATAACAGTACAGTCCGATGCCCACCATAAACAATGGAAAATATACGTTTATCCTAAATTTAAGCAGCTACAAATGTTTTCAATGAAAATTGTACTTTATTACCTGCTTGTGGGGAACAAAGAAAGGAATCGTACAAAGAAAAAAGGTTTTAAAGGAACACTCCCAGCACCATAACCACTACAGCATGCTGTAGTGCTTATAGTGGTAGGAATACCCTGGCACCTCCCTATATTGTAAGGACTCAAACTGTTTTAGAACTGTTTTAGCTGCGCGCGCATTTAGCTGGTCACATAGGAAAGCATTATCAATGCTTTCCTATGGACGCTGGCGTGCTCTCACTGTCATTTTCACAGTGAGAATCACGCAAGCGCCTCTAGCGGCTGTCAATGAGACAGCCGCTAGAGGCTTTGGGGGAAGGCTTAACCCATTCATAAACATAGCAGTTTCTCTGAAACTGCTATGTTTATAAAAGAATGGGTTAAGCCTAGCTGGACCTGGCACCCAGACCACTTCATTAAGCTGAAGTGGTCTGGGTGCCTAGAGTGGTCCTTTAAGGACAAATAAAAAAAATAGAATGATCACAATTGCCAACTTTAAAAAAAAAAATTCTGTTCATTTTTAAGATTTTCTTTAAAAAAAAATATTTGCAGCTGGATAGTACATGTTTCCAAACATGTACTTATCCCAAGATATTTTTGGTCCGTCATTGCTGATTTTTGGACGTAAGCAGCACAGTGCTTGTGACATCATGCCCTCTGACCTCCTGATGCTACAGTGATCTATTCTGGATAGCGGAAAACATATTTGACAGTAATTAGCAGTGGTTAATGTCAGAGCTGGCTTACTTCAGAGGTAGAGCATAGCTCACAACAACGCAGTGTTATAATATATCGTAAGAAGCACGGAGTGCCTTAGTAAATCCCATTACCTTGTGAATAGAAGTACACATTTATACAGGAAATAGTGAGTTGAGATTCTAAAGCAACTTGCAAAACTAAAGGGCAAATAGCTGTGTTAGAAATATTATTTCTGGGAAATAATTTCTGTGGAAAAAAATAAATAAATATATATATATATAAACAGCAGCTGTACTAATCCATCTAATCCATAGGTAAACAAAGGTGCGTGCAAATATGAAAACAGCAAGTGAGATAGGATCTATCTACTTATCTTTCTATCATTTATCTGTATATATCTACCTGTCGGTCATCTATCATCCTGCGGTATATTTTCTATCTATATACAGCATCTACATTATTATTTCTTATATGTCTATGTTATGTTTTGTCTGTCTGTTAATCTATCCATTGTTTATCCAACTGTATATCTAGTCCTGTGTCATCTGTATTCTATTATATTGACTTCAGTCTGTCTGTGTCTCTATCTAATCTATCAATCTATTTCCATCTATAACGTGCGGATTGTTCCCGATCGGATTGCTATTACTTTGTGGAACGTTTCGCCGAATGGTTCACGGAATATCGTTGTTCTTGTGGTGAAATTGGTCCCATAGGAATGAATGGCAAAATGTTCAAAACTAGAGTGGGAGCTGGCAAAAGCTGAAAAATCAGGACATGATTTCTAAACTGCCACCACTCCCTCATTTTCAAGCACACCTACATAAATCTTATATCAAAACATTCAGCTATCCCTGCTGCCCACAGCTAAGCCATAGTCCTGATAGTTTTCACAATATGATCATTTGTTTGCAACTCACGCCGTCCATTAACATTCACTGAAACTCCACTATAGCAAGCTGAAACTTGAAGGGCAATTTCTAAACTGCGACTGTGCCTTCATTTTTAATACTTTAGAGACATACTATGCTAAAATGTAGGTCTGGGTCTTGTGATTCTCACAATATAAAGCTCTTCGCTGTAGGATTTATAGTTTTTAAAATACGACCGTTTGAAGATGGCAACCGTCAAAATACTCTGACCTGTGCCAGGCTGGAGCAGCAAGTGATGTCATAGACAGGGCCTTTTGTACACCTGCTAATGTTTTTATAAATGTATGTTTTAATGTAACTCTGAAGCACTTTGGGCAACAACGTTGCAATTAAATGTGCTATATAAATAAATAAAAGTAGAAATGCATTTCTCACTCTATCAATATCAGCAATATCGGTATCTTTAGTGGCCGATACCGATATTGCCGAAAATACAGAATATTGGCCGATAATATTGGTAAAACCGATAATCGCTCAATCCCTAGTTGTAGACTACTGGTGGAGGCCAGAACACTTCACACAATTTCCCCAGAAATTGTAGCTTTTCTAGTTTACCCTGTCACACTGACTGTATGTCTGTCTGTCAACCTGCTTGTCATACATTACATCACATTGAGAGTATGTTTGTTTGCATTTCTATTTATCTCAATCTCTGTTTGTCTGTCTGCCCTGTCTGAGTGTCTATTCAAGGAGTGTTTTTGCAAAACTTTATTTATCATGACAAAAAGGATTTTTATTGTAATAGAAAAAAAAGTATGTTTGGTATGTACGTGTTAGTGCAGGATTCCCATGTGTGCAATTTAATGAAAACCTAGTACAGGTATATTTATTTGTGTAGTTATTTGCCGAGCATCACATGCCCTTTACAAACTGCCTCTAACTCCTGGCGTTTATATTTGTTTATGTGTATTGAGCAGCACTGAGCAACAACTAAGTACCTTTAATAGTTTTTTCCTTTCAATAAAAGTAAAGTGTGTGAGCCCGGGGAAGGTATGCGAGTGATGTTAAATACTTATTATCCAGTGAAGTGGCTTAGCACACACTTCAAAGCAGGAAAGCCAAGGTGAGAGTAGTGGGAGTGGGGAACAAGCCATATGCAAAGTGTCAATGCATGTACACCCTATAGGCAAAGCATAGAGTGAGAGGTGGGCGGGGCTGCTCAATTACCCAAAGCTTCTCTAGAACTCCGCTGGTTACATTGTATCAGGGCAGCCCACGTGCACGGTCTGGATACATAGAATCCAGGCGCAGACACCCAGCTCTGCACTGAGGGGATTACAAACTTGGCTGGGAGGATAGCAGGGACTCACTGGCTGGGGAGGAGAACTTGGACCTATACTGATCCAGCCTTAGAAAGCTCTTCTTGCCTCCTGCTGTGACCCATCCTTCCATCCCATGCCATTCAGAATCCAGCAGCCCTGACCTGCATGGAGACACCACCATGCCCTGTGCCCAGCACTGCCCCTCATTGGGCGCAGAGCCTTCTTGAAGTAAGCGGCGCTGGTGGTGGCAATCCCACCCACACGATTGGCTGGCATTGGGGCAAGTGCCTCTTGTCCCCTCCTGCAGGGGTGTGAGTTGGGGGGCCGTTTGAAGTAGCTGTGCATGTGTAAAAGGATGACCCTGAGTGAATACTTGGTGCTAATGGCACAATCCTGTTTGGGTTTCTTGGAGTAGTGGCTTTATAATGGGAGCATGAGACTTTCCTATGGGAACACGAAGTGACAGGTGAAGAATACCCCAAACGCCTCATCCTCTGGACATATAAAGCACACACAGAGCTGTGAATTCTGAGACTTTCCCCGGGTGTTACTGGACAGGGGCTGGATCCTGTATCAGGGGATATTCCCTCTCCCTCCCTCCAGATGCCTGTAACTGTCTCCTTATGTGCTCTACATAACCAGTAGTGGAAATGACAGCAAGTCCAGCTTACATAGCCGTGGAGGTGATCATTGCTGTGCTGTCCATCGTGGGGAACGTGTTAGTGTGTTGGGCAGTGGCCATCAACAGCACTCTGAAGAATGCAACCAACTACTTCTTGGTGTCGCTGGCTGTGGCTGATATAGCAGTGGGGCTCCTTGCCATTCCTTTTGCAATCACCATCAGCATCGGTTTCAAAACCGATTTCCACAGCTGCCTGTTCTTTGCCTGCTTTGTGCTGGTGCTCACTCAGAGCTCTATCTTCAGTCTCTTGGCTGTAGCCATTGACAGATACCTAGCCATCAAGATACCTCTCAGGTAAGGAGATACTGTGCTGCACATTTAAATGTATATTCTGTCTGTGGGAAAATAAGATTCACTCCTGCTGGAGTGCATTTGTTATATCTGGGTATATAACTTTCAAACTTGAAATAAGTAACATATGGCGATCTTGATTATCATGAGGACTACAGTTCTAATTATCCCTAAATCGGATGATAAGAGTTGTAGTCTGTGTTTTCTCAACCATAGTAGACACATTAGTATCCTATTTAGTTCCATTCCATGAACTCTTCTGCCTTGTCCTTCACCCTCAGCACTAATTCCTGTTTGATGTGACTGATAGTAATGCAAAAGTAGTAAAAGCGAACCATAAAATACACACAGACAGACACACACAGACACAGACAGACACACACACACACACACACACACACACACACACACACACTGTATATACACAGACCAGTGCATTGTTATATTTGTATAAACAATCTTGATATATTGGGCTTTGCAGTCAGTAGAAGGTCTGCATAAATACTTCATGTTTTATAAACATTCAGGCAGACCTCTGCTGAGGACCTGCGGTAATTTTACTCTGGGATCTTTTACTACATAGTCTGCTGTGTTAAAAAGGCTAAACTTGCAGAACTGGAAACAAATACCTAATAGACCTTAATTAGACTTGGATATATATATATACACTTACTGTGATAATTGGCCTGCATTTTGCAAGTTAGTTCACAACTCACTACAACCTGCTGTTTAGTGGAAACACCCCAATATATTGTAAAGTTATTAAAACGCAATTGAAGGTGACACGTGGTTGCCAAACACAGTTGTCTAGCTAATAGGAGAATATAATATAACATTAGCCAAATTCAGGACATTGATGGAGATATTGAAGTTGTACAGGCATAGAAAATGTGAAAGTACTCACACCCATCACACTACCCAGAATGGAAGTGTGAGTGGGAGTTTTTTTGTTTTTGTTTTGGGAGTTTTTTTTGTTTTTTTAATATATCTGAATAAAAAGCTGCATACTTGGTACAATATAACACATTCTAAAAAAAAATAAAGTAAATACACCAATTGGTTTGTCATGATGACCTTTACCATCCGTTTACAACGGATGAATGATCTGTTATTGCACTCCAGAAAATCTTTTTTTTTCAATTAATGGTAAGGAAACATTTACTATTACTATGACATAGTAGGCTTTCACAATGTTCACATTAATCAAATTCCAAGGAGATTTCACTATGTAATATATTGATGAATATGTATAATAACTAGAATAATCAAAAATCACTGGCATGGAAAATGTAATTTTATGGCCTTAAGAACACAGCACCACTTGATGATTTATGTTGGTGCCGGATTTATTACATCCCATTTCAGAGATGTATTTAAATTTTTCATAGCAGTGTAGCTACATGTATATCAATGCTTGACTGTCACTTTTTTAATTTAATTTTTTTAAGCCATATTCTTTTACAAACCAATTTAAACCCAGGTGTTTTCAAGTCATAGTAATGTTACATATTTCCTGGGACGGTTAATATATTTTTGTAATTTATCAAATAAAAAATCAACTCGTGGGTGACTCATGATTTAAGTAAACAATAGTCTATCAGACATAGAGGTAAGGTTTTCTGGCAGGAGGGGTTATTCAATAAACCTCTCAAAGGACAGAGAAATTTACTGTCAACTGACTGATAAATAAGCCTGGAAGGATTCACATATTTGAAAAATATAGGTTTTCCAAATGGACTTTAATGCCCCAAATAAATGTTGGTTTTAGGAATTCCTCAGTTGGACAAGATTACCTTTTTGTTAGCACAAGTGGATCTATAATATACTACTAAGTGTTTTACCAAGAAACATACATTGTAATTCTATCACGTTTTCAAGTTTGTCCTTATTGACCTCTGCTATATGAAATGTTACATTGCCCATCCTGGAATTAGCCCTGCAAACATGAAGTCTGAACATGTTCTACAGTCAATTCATCAATCACTTGAGATATCTTACCGAATCTGTCACCGCTCATTGACTGACTGATTCATGTGCGCTTCTGTGAGTAAACCCTTGAAATCTTTGCTACAGAGTAAGGAGATCATCTGTCTCCTTTAACTGGAGATGCTTATAAATAATACACCATTCAAAGTACCTTTGATACCGTGTTTCTCCGAAAATAAGACCGGGTCTTATATTAATTTTAGTCACAAAAAACACACTAGGGCTTATTTTCAGGGTAGGGCTTATTTATTTACGTTACCAGTATGTACAGCTCTTTCTCTTTGCACTCATCTTGTTTGGGGATCAAAATACCATACTGTCTAATTAATCCACCCCCCCTTTAATAAATCCACCCCCTCTAATTAATCCACCCCCTTTAATTAATCCACCCCCCTCTAATTAATCCAGCCCACCCTTTAATTAATTCACCACCCCTTTAATTAATTCACCCCCTCTAATTAATCCAGCCCACCCTTTAATTAATTCACCACCCCTTTAATTAATTCACCCCCTCTAATTAATCCAGTCCACCCTTTAATTAATTCACCCCCCTTTAATTAATTCACCCCCCTTTAATTAATTCACCCCCCTCTAATTAATCCAGCCCACCCTTTAATTAATTCACCACCCCTTTAATTAATTCACCCCCCTCTAATTAATCCAGCCCACCCTTTAATTAATTCACCACCCCTTTAATTAATTCACCACCCCTTTAATTAATTCACCCCCTCTAATTAATCCAGTCCACCCTTAAATTAATTCACCCCCCTCTAATTAATCCAGCCCACCCTTTAATTAATTCACCACCCCTTTAATTAATTCACCCCCTCTAATTAATCCAGCCCACCCTTTAATTAATTCACCCCTTTAATTAATTCACCCTCCTCTAATTAATCCAGCCCACCCTTTAATTAATTCACCACCCCTTTAATTAATTCAATCACTAATTCCAGCCCACCCTTTAATTAATTCACCACCCCTTTAATTAATTCACCCCCTCTAATTAATCCAGCCCACCTTTTAATTAATTCACCCCCTCTAATTAATTCAGTCCACCCTTTAATTAATTCACCACCCCTTTAATTAATTCACCCCCTCTAATTAATCCAGCCCACCCTTTAATTAATTCACCCCCCTCTAATTAATCCAGCCCACCCTTTAATTAATTCACCACCCCTTTAATTAATTCACCCCCACCCCCTTTAATTAATTCAGTCCTAGACATAAAATATCTACCGGTACTCACATTTCAAAGATTCCTTGCCGAGTCCGACCACTGGGTGCCTCACCGCCCGGAAATGGATCCTTCTGCTGAAGATCCGTGAAGGCAGACTGACGGCGCTGCGAAATGTCGTCATCACGTTGCGCGATGCCGCGGCCCGCAACGCTCCTCCTACAGTAGAAGAAGGAAGTCTCGCCGCAAAGGTACAATGCCTAGGTCTTATTTTCGGGGTAGGGCTTATATTGCAGCCCACCCCGAAAATCCGACTAGGGCTTATTTTCGGGGTAGGGTTTATTTTCGTGGAAACACTTTACTCTGCTTTCCCAAACACATGCAAA